CGGAAATCTATTTTTGTTTTCGTGGGGGAGGACCCCCACCCGTTAAAAATGTCCCCGCCCACATTCAGAATGCTTCTTACGCCCATGGTTCACCATATTGTGATACAGCTTGCTGTGCTGCCACCTAACAATTAATGCTGCTTTAATGTTACCCGCTTGCTTTTTGACAGAAACTTTTTCCATTAAAAATAAAACAATAACAATAACTGAGAGTATTGCTTTTGAACTCATCATTTACTAAGTTTATGAGAGCTAATGGGTTTTCCCGCTCATCAAATGTAAATAGTACTTAATGACTGACTGAATGGAAATGACAATAAATGAAAATGTAAAACGAAAAAAGCGATCATGAAAATGTTTCCAATAAATGAATACAATTATTTTTGTCCACTTTGTTGTTCAGATATATCACATGTTTGTAACTAAATGATACATTAATTGAAACAAAACACAGTATAAACTGAGGAGTGAGTCCCGTTAGTTTCATGTGTTTTCTTCACTCCGCTGGGAAACTGCTCTTATGTCAAGAAGCAACAGATCAGTGCATGTGCTGCATCGTCCAATCAGTGAGCGATACACAGTAAGGGGGCGGGGCGAGTGTCTGAGGATTTCATCGAAGGATGGTCTGGTGGTTCCTCGATTATCACTCCTCCGTTATCGCTCCTCGATTCTCGGTCCTCCGGCACAAATAAAAGGCCACTGGAGAGGTTTCTCAATACTCTAATTTCCCCTCCTCGACTCCTTTCCTTTGACTCGAATTCGGTGCCACTCGATGACGTAGTATGCTTGAAATAGTGGCTCTGGAGCAGCTTTACTCGACATTGAGAAACGGCCCGTTTGTGCTCTTTATTTTACAAGCTAAATGAGTGAAGTAGCCTTGTGCCTTTCTGTTAGCAAGCTCCGTAGTTATCAATAATTGAAGTGAATCATAACATTACCGTGTCCTTTTGTGTGTGTGGGGGGGTGACGGTTTGCAAAGTAACGTTACGATCACTTCGGTTGGATAAGTCAAATTCACTTGGTTAAAGAACATCCATAAGTTGTTAGAAGTATTCATGGTTAATGTAGTTTTCAGATAATTTACTTCAGTAAAAGTAGACCATGCTACACTATCCAAATACTCTCTTAGAAAAGCCCTGCATTTAAACATGTTAATGTTACTTTAGTAAAAGTATGCTAGTATAATCAGGAAAGTGTTAAAGTATTTAAAGTTGACACAAGTTATACTATCATATTATATCATTTGTTTTATTGTTATTACCGATGCAAGAGTTGGAGCTCATTTTGAACAATGAGCTAACTAATGATTACTTTCATAATGGTTTAATGTGCTGACTATTTTCTACATTAATAGATGAAGGTCTGGTTTGTTCAAAGTCTCAAAATAGTAGGACATGCTGTCATAATTACCCAGAGTCCGAAGTGACACCTTTACAATGTTAAAGCTGTTAGATAAATGTAGTGATGTAAAAACTAAAATATTCAAGATAGTGTAGTGGAAAAGAGATAATGTTTTAAAAACATGTTACTAAAACAAAATCTCTTGTTTTGGACTGACATTATTTTTAATACTTTCTGCTGACACTAGGTGGGGCTGTGCCTAGTGTCATTTTTGTGTAGTTTCGGGTTAATAATGTGGCCTTTTTGGCAGTTTAACTAAAGGTGTGCGGCTGCTACCGTGAGGAAATATCAGCCTGAAATTACAATGGGCTTTAATGGAGGCATGTTGAAAGTGTTTGTCACTTCATGCCCTCAAGAGGCATTTTGTTTAATTATTTTTGCTTAATTATTTGTCATTTTTCAAGCTACGAGATGTTTTCCTACGTTTTTCATGATAAATTATGTCTCAGGAATGTAGGGTTTGGGAATTATGGCAGTTTAAAAAAAATATATGAAGGCAAATTTCAAGATTTCTTACCCTCTAGCTGTGACATCACGCACTCTAGTTAATGTTAAAATCTGAAGAAAACCTCTAAAACAAGGTCTGAACAAATGTTAATATCTCTAAAAGTAAGAATCAGATTTAAAAGTTATTTTTACACGAATAATGTCAGAAAGATGTGTAACATTTTAAAGTTGGAATGAGGTTTCTGAGTGAAAGTATGAATGAACAGTTAGCAGTTGAATCGCATGAAGATTTGTTGAAGTCTGAAGATTTCCTCCATTGACTACAATGTTAAAGGTCCCATGTCATGCTTTTCCGGTTAGTACCCGTCCCCTTGTGTGTTATGAAGGTTTTTATGCATGTAAACGGTGTGCAGAGTCAAAACCCTCAAAGTACACCCTGTAGCGAGTAAAACTCTAACACAGAAAATACCTCCCCAAAACGCCTCGTTGGAGATACGTCATTGTCCATTTGATTCTTCCGGGTACGCATGATGTCAACCGTACCCGGAACGAAATGGACCAATCCGTGGAGCCGTTACGTTACGTCCGCGGAGCCGTTACGTTAAGCCCCCGCTGATTGGTCCAAATTGACCAATCCACGGACTTCCTCACACATTCAGTGCAGGCAGCTCTGCTGATCTCTCCTCCCTGGCTGATAACAGACAGTTGGGATCGCGGCGACATTCTCTCTGCAGACCCATTCTCACAGCGTTTATCAACCTTTTTCTTACTCAATATCAAGCCACACTTATTGTTTTTACTTCGGCTGTGACTTTGTGTGTGCTCAGGATGAGTTTGGCTGTGTTTCGCTGTGTATCGCTAAACAAGGAAACAACACCTCCACGGAGCTCAGCGCGATTCACAACGTCCCGACCAATCAGAGCACACTGTGCTCACAGGGAGGGTGGGGCTGGAGCTATTGGAGCTACAACGAGCCGTTAAAGGCAGAGAGTGAAATTCAGTGAATACACGTAGTTTACAGAGATGCTGTTTGAGAAACCAATGTCAGTTTGGAAAATTGCACAATATAAATCTATTCTCTATTCTCAACAATGGAATTATGATCAGTGGAAATGGCCATAATAATAATTTCAATTTCTATAGCGCCTTTCACGAAACCCAAGGACGCTTTACAATGGGAAGTAACAAAACAAAAAGTAATAATAATCATACAGATACATAGGCTGAAGAAAACAAAACAGGAACAGGTTGCTGAGTACTGTATATTAGTTGAGGCTAAAGGCCTGAATGAACAGATGGTGTTTGAGGTGTTTAAATGTTTAAGGGCCATGACATGGGACCTTTACAAATGTGATGTATTATGGGATGTATCTCTGGAATTATGAAAGTTAAGAATGAGAAAAGTAATAGCCATCGATTCCCGACCGAGCTGAACGTTTTGATGTTTGAACGGAGTTTCTGCGATGTTCAATGCGGGAGGAGAAGAGGGCCAAAAAAAGTCGGCGGAATAATAATAATAACTTTTCGTGCGTAGAATAACAGTTAGTGGGATTGCTGTTAACAGCATTCCCACTAAATCATCTCCTTGTCACTAAATAGACCCTCCAGAAAAACGCGGGCAAAAATCCTCGATTATGCGATCAAACATGCAGGGTTTTATGTGATTTTATGCGGTGAAATATGCGGGAAGTTGCGAAATATGCGGAAAAAATAAATATTGGGCTGTCTTATTTATTTATTCTCTCTCACACACAACCTGCCACTAACGTTACACCCCTTTACTATACAATTAAACACATTCAATGTTTATTTATTGTAAAAGCAATTGGGCTATTTTAATCACACTCTATCACTCACACACACACACACACACACACACACACACACACACACACACACACACACACACACACACACACACACACACACACACACACACACACACACACACACACACACACACACACACACACACACACACACACTTCTCCGCCTCATTCTGTTTTCATTTACTTGTTCGTTATCTGACCAGCTTCAATCCTGTAGGCTACTCACTTAGTTTCTTGTAGCCCTCGAAAGGGTGTTGGAGGTTGATGCCTCGGTGAACGTGAGTTGTTTGGCTTTCTTGTCCGCAGCAGCAGAAAGCATTTTCGAATGTTTGAATGAATCAAAGTGGGTCGTCACCGTCGATGTTCTCTTATGCTCCCACACAGTTGCACGGGGTGCAGAATAGTTTCCCCCCACTTTCGTGCAAGACATCGGGGTACTGCTTTGCCCGGTCTTTAGCAGAAATGTTCGTCGGTAAATGAGATGGATTAGATTTTTTCATCTTGGTGTTTTCTCTCGCGTGTGAGTTCCACAAGTTCACTCTACGGTGTTGTTTACCTTCTGTGATGCGCGAGCTGATGACGTCGCGTCATCATCATCACCACTTCACGTCAAGACGAGTTAACTTTTTTTTTTCTCATCTTTGTGTGGAAAAATGCGGGGATTATGCGGCCTTTTGATAAATATGCGGCCTTTTAAAAATCTGTGCCATTTTGCTGATTATGCGGTAAATTCTGCGATCGCAGAATCACGTTTTTCTGGAGGGTCTAACTAAAGCATTGACTACGCTATTCATCGTCCTTAAATTTCATTTAATCGTTTATTCTTCTTGGACATTTTCTTCCAAGATTTGACATTATTAATAACAATTTTGAAAGATATAGATTTTGTCACAGTGCACATCAGCACCCTGTCACTCTATGGAATCTTTGGAACATACAGCATAGGTTAGACGGAGGTTTGCAAAAGTTCACAGGCATCTTATTTTGACAAGGGATTGCAGTGAGAGATTCATTCTACTACATATTGAGCAAGAATATTTACTTTTAGAATTAGATAACAAAGCAGCATGTGACTGCCCCTACATCTGACAGTATGTGATTACTTTAGGAGTCTTGGCCAATATGAACTTTAAAAAATGGTTCCACCTATTAAACTGCAGAATTGGTTGTTGTTAAAAATGCATTGGTATTCCGATGTGTTTCAGTGTTTAGGAAATTATATTAATAAGAGCGGCAACAGCATCTTTAGCGCCACACCACAAGGAAATAGTGTTTTAGTGGTGGTTTAAAAATAATAATATATTTTTTGTTTCCTTCAGATCAGTAAGCTGCAGCTGCAGACGGTCAAAGAGCGTTTCCAGGCCTTCCTCAACGGAGACACCCAGATCGTGGCGGACGAAGCCTTCATCAACGCCGTCCAGAGCTACTATGACGTGAGTCAATTATCTGTTACCTTCTGTCTACCTGTATACTGGGGAAATGGATAGAATATAATCGTTTAATGGCATTATACATGTACAATGAGATAAATAAATGCTTCTCCCTTTCAAAAGGTGCCATCAAAACAAAAAACATCACAACATAAGACAACAAATACACGCAGCATACATACTTAGGAATAAGGAATAAAGTGCATTAATTATTTCCAGGGGTATACAAATCAAATCTATAATGTAATAAATAATAATAGTAGGTATGCATTTATAATAATAATAATAATAATAATGATATATATGTATATATATATATATATATATATATATACACAGTCACATTTATTTCACATGCAGGATGATTAAGAGGTATGACTTTCAGGTGTTCAAGGTCCCATGTCATGGCCATTTCTACTGATCATATTTCCATAGTTGAGGTCTACTAGAATAGATTTACATTGTTCAATGTTCCAAACTCACATTGGTTTCTCAAACAGCATCTCTGTATAGTATGTGTATTCACTCTCTGTCTTACACGGCTTGTTGGAGCTCCTGCCCCCCCCCCCTCCCTGTGAGCCCAGTGTACTCTGATTGGTCGGGACGTTGCAAGGCTCGTTGCTGCTTGCAGCTGCTGCGAGGAGCGGACAGGCTTCCGGGTCGGCGATACAGCGAGAACAAGCGAAACTCATCCTGAGCACACAAACACTCACAGCCGAAGTAAAAACAATAAGTGCGGCTTGATATTGAGTAAGAAAAAGGTTTATAACGCTGTGAGAATGGGCCTGCGGAGAGCATTTCTCCGACATCCCAACTCGTCTATTACCAGCGTTCAGGGAGCTCTATGCAAGTCAATGGGACTCACTGTTAGTTAGCCAAGGGGTCCTGGTGTGTGAGGTGCTCCGCGGATTGGCTCACATCATGCTCCTCCACAGTAAGTGGGGGGGTGCTGGAGGCGGTTGGGGGCCGGGGTGAAGTTGCTGATTGCTGCTGTGGTGTCTCGAAGCGAGCTAAGAAGCAGTTCAGTTCCTCTGCTAGCGATACGCTTGAGTCCCCAGTTGCCGTGTCACACCCCCTGTAGTTGGTAATGTTCTTAATGCCCTGCCACACCTGCCTAGGGTTGTTGCTTGTGAGGTGGTCCTCAATCCTTGTTTTGTAGAACCGACCCAACAAATGGACCCAGCAGATGATCCATGGGAGGTAGAATTACAGCATTTTACCTTCTATCTGGCTTGCTGCTTCGATTGGTGGAAGGGAGCGTCCAGTGTTCGGCAGAAGAGGGCCGCTCTGGTAGAGGCGCACCGGTTGGCAGCAGAGAAACTATGTTTTGTGGAGTTCTTACCTGACTGGATTTTGGACTTCCTTGAAACATGTGATTCCCGGCCTGCTAGCCCCAGGCACGCTAACTCCATGTCTCCCAATTCCCAACCTGGCACCATACGCCTAGGTAGATTCCGCCTGAAGTCAACCCGTGCTTCTGCCCCAGTTCCTGCTCCTGTCCAGGAGTTGTATTCCGGAACTCGTCTGGCTTATGGAGGTCCACGGAGTATTCAGGCGGCTGCTAAGAGGAGTCGTCGCAAGACCAGGCTAGCAGCCCGAGCAGCCATGGTTCCGGCTACAGAACCGGCCCACACAGCCATGGTTCCAGACCCAGTTCTGGCCCCAGCAACCATGGATTCGGCTCCAGAACCGGACCTTACAGCCACGTTTCCGGCTCCAGAACCGGACCTTACAGCCATGTTTCCGGCTCCAGAACCGGACCTTACAGCCATGTTTCCGGCTCCAGAACCGGACCTTACAGCCATGTTTCCGGCTCCAGAACCGGACCTCACAGCCATGTTTCCGGCTTCAGAACCGGACCTTACAGCCATGATTCTGGCTTAAATTCCGGCTCCAGAGCCGGCCCATTCAGCCATGTTTCCAGCTCCAGAACCGGACCTTACAGCCATGTTTCCGGCTCCAGAACCGGACCGTACAGCCATGTTTCCGGCTTCAGAACCGGACCTCACAGCCATGTTTCCGGCTTCAGAACCGGACCTTACAGCCATGATTCCGGCTCCAGAACCGGACCTCACAGCCATGTTTCCGGCTTCAGAACCGGACCTTACAGCCATGATTCTGGCTTAAATTCCGGCTCCAGAGCCGGCCCATTCAGCCATGTTTCCAGCTCCAGAACCGGACCTTACAGCCATGTTTCCGGCTCCAGAACCGGACCGTACAGCCATGTTTCCGGCTTCAGAACCGGACCTTACAGCCATGTTTCCGGCTTCAGAACCGGACCTTACAGCCATGATTCTGGCTTCAATTCCGGCTCCAGAGCCGGCCCATTCAGCCATGTTTCCGGCTCCAGAACCGGACCTTACAGCCATGTTTCCGGCTCCAGAACCGGACCTTACAGCCATTATTCTGGCTTCAATTCCGGCCCCCGCAGCCATGGTTCCAGACCCAGCTCTGGCCCCAGCTGCCACAGTCCCATCTCAAGTTTCCTCTCGAGTCCCCTCTCCAGTTCCCTCTCCAGTTCCCTCTCGAGTTCCCTCCTCTAGTCCCTCCTTTAGTCCCTGCTCTAGTCCCTCCTTTAGTCCC